ACGAAGAGCGAGTGAGAGTTCATCGATTGGCCGTCAACTGCAATTACATAACACTTCTATATCGGTTTGTATACACTATACCAACGTCACTGAATCTGGTCTATACCGTCTACAACGGATATCCGCCTCTGAATTTGTATAATCCATTTGTGGACTGGCATAAGGATACGCGCAGCCTTTGGATCGCAGCACTTTACGAATATTTCATACAGTTCATTGCGATCCATGCCTTTATAGTAATGGATAGTACGCCTCTGATATTCGGGTTGACTGTGCGATCCTATACACAATGGCTGACAGAGCGGGTCGAAAGATTGCGCAATAATCCCAAAAGAACTGAGGATGAGAACTACCAGGAACTTGTTCAATGCATCAAGGATCATCAACTTATTTTGGAGTGAGTGAAAAAAGAATATAATTATATCTATATGGTATATGTGAGGGAATTTTAATTAATGATCGATTTTACTATCGAATATATTTGTACACTCGTGATAAATTATAATTTTTGGTCTTGTACCTTCCATTTTCCATCTTCAATAATTTTCTATCTCAATAAATCCTCATTTTATATATTCAACTTTCAATCTCAATTTTTCTATTATTAATTTTTAATCTTCCATTAGCATCAATCAATCTATAATCTTTAATGTTCCATATTCCATCTTCAATATACAATCGTCATAACTTCAATCTTCCATCTTTCATTTTCAACCATCAGTCTTCCGTCTTCCATCAGCCATCTTCATTCCTTATTCAAACTTCAATCTAAACTCCTCAAATTTAAATTCTTAATCTTCAATCTTACATTCGTTTAGTTACAGCGAGAATATGCGTCCTCTGATCTCCCGTGCGTTGTTTGTTCAGTATGCCACAGCATCCTTGGTGATGGCTGCAACGCTCGTTCATTTGGTGGCTTTTGCGGATATGGTCTCGGGCATTACAACGACGATTTATATGATATCTAGTATGTTTCAAACTTTCCCATTTTCGTACATCTGTGAGCAGATAGTTGAAGACTGTGAACTACTATCCATGGCTATATTTCATTCGAATTGGATCGGTGCGCCTACCGCCTACACTTCGGCCCTTAAGTA